GTATTTCTTACACGCACGCATGAAACGTTTGACGCACAAAATGCTTATTACAATTAATGTGAACTTAATGTATAACCGGAATGTATTATTTCAAAATAAATAAATAAATAACATACGTGGGTTGACTCAAGTGGTAAGTAGCTTGATGCCGCTTACGCAAGGTCTCGGGTTCGAGTCCTTGTGGATGCAGAAAACCCTTGTTGTGAGACTCACCCACCACTGCCAGGTGTGCGACCTAAGTCGACCAACCGATTAGTTGAGGCATAGCTCCGAATACTGTGGGCCTGTGGCTGGCTACCAAAAAAAAATAAAATAAATAAATAACGATGTAAGTATATCAATGCAAAACTATAAAAAAAAAATAGCATTTTTACAATTTATCATTGGTTAAATCTTTTTCCGTAGTCCGTGCAATGTATGAGACAGAGATATTAAACAAGTCAATTTTAAAAACTTTGTCCGTTTAAGTCTAAAAAACGATAGATTTGGATCGTCTATTTTCTTACATCTTTTAATTAGCGTTGTTTTTAACGTAACATTAAATATAAGGATGTTAGCGCTAGTTTGTAAATTATTATATTATTTCACTAACACATTTACATTAATATAATTTGATTTTAGTATATATATTTATTTCTTTATATAATTAAAATTTTCAATTTTACTTATTCTTGTTCACCACACAATTTTAATTATTATTTTATTATAATTTTTTTAGTCAAATAATGTCATTATTTTTTATAGAAGTTGTAGAAGTAGTACATATATTTTTCTTTTTATTTAATATAATGAAAAATATTTAATGAATGTTAGTATTATTCATTTATGTAATTAATTTAAATTGTGTAAATAAATAGAAAATTAAATAGTTTATAAATATTTTACAAAATATACACACATGTTTTTCTTTAAATTTAATTTTATATACTAATCAAACAACTATGATTTAGCAAATGCCAAAAACTCACTCTCTTCTATAATCAAGAGATTTTTCTAATTTGTATTATAAGACTTTATAATTTATTTAACAGACTCTGCTATTTTACAATTAATTATAGAAAAAAATAAAAATAAAAAAATAGATAAAAAATTAAACATAGTTGACAATAATAAACAAATAAATTCTAAATAATAATCAATATATTTTATTTTTGTTTTATGACATTAGTAAAAATATATAGTATATCTGGTCATTATCTTTTAAAGGGTAAATCATATTAGCTTGAAAAATAATTTATTTTTCATCTATAATGAAATAAACTAGTATAACACCCGTGTATTACACGGGTGTTTGCTAATTTTTTCTTAAAATTTAAAATGAATGAGAAAAAGAAATTGAAAATTTAAATACTTTTTATAAAAATATATATATTATTATATATTTAGTATGACACATTTTTATTCGTGCGACTTACTTGTGTTATATTATAATAATTTTTTAACTTACAACATATAACTAAATTAAACATAAATATATCAATTGAGAAATAATTCTATTTTTTTAATAAATTTTAATAAATATTATTATTTTTTATTATATAAAGATAATTTAATTTATTTATTTTATATATACAATATGGATGTCAAATCGAAGATCATCAAAAGATGATTAATTTGATATATTATATATGTAAAACCGATAAGAAATACAAAACTTATCAACTTTTAACATTTACAATTAAATAACTAATTGAAGGAAACAAATCAAAAGTCAGGGATATATTAGTCACTTAATGTCTCACTATGTAAAATTACAAAGAATTAAACGGTTATATTAGTACACGTGATATTTAAATACCTAAAGTAGCTATTTAATATTTATGGAATGTCCAAACCTAGATTATTAATTATTAATAGATCAAAATTATTTGTCCAAACATAATTACGAAGCATGATTCTTTGCCAAGTAGGATTCCAAAGCACCAGAAGCAGCCATGTAGGCTCAGCGCATTCGGGAATAATCCTATAGGGAGGATATTAAGAAAAAAAAATATATTTACAACTATTAATTCACCAACATAATTTCGCCTGATTAATTGGAAGAAAAAATTATACCTAACATATTACGATTTTCTATTAATATTTTAGGATAAAAAAGTGAATATTTGTGGAAAAATTCAATATTATGATTAGTACTTAAATATGTTTTTATATTTATCTTCACCAATATATTATTTAAGGGAATCACGAAAAATCAATCTTGTACTTTATTATAATGGATTTTAATGAAATTATTGCAGGTATTAATAAAATTATTTAAGAAAACGATATTATTTATTATATCTGATTTGATCCTCTTTGAAAGCATGTATAACAATAAAATCACATGAATGTTTAACAGTAAAATCAAAATCAACGTTCATTACATCACTATTGCGCTCTGTCTCAATCCACCTTGCACTGAGCCATTATATTTGCATAATGTGCCGCTAAATTAGGATCCTCTCGCAGTCCTAGCACCAGTCTCATGTAATGGAGAATAGAAAAATGACCCACTACAAAAAATAAGAGAATTAAAATATATGATCACATATATATTAAAAAAACTTTGGGATTACAAAACATTAATTAAAATTTAGTAAACACTTACATAATTGGTATTGCCGCGCGTAGGGACAGCATGCTCGTCTGGCAAACTATCACCCAAGAGAAGAGGATGGAAAACGGGCGTACTACTCCAAGTACCGCTCATCGACCTCCCCTCGATCATGTGTGTTGGGGGAGTAAATAGTCGTGGGCGAGCGACAGCACTGGAACTGGTGCCAAGAATCTACTGCATCAGTACCAACATGCTCACCCCTATAGAGCATAGACTCAAGTACGTACTGCTCTGGCTGGACCGGCCATGCGGAGAGGGATAGTCTGGACGAATCCTACCTAATGCAAAAATCGGATAGTCACATACTGCTCCACAATATCGCGGTATCTAAGCCATCCGCAATAAAGGGTCCTCGGTTCTTCCGAAGCTGGTCTTGAGCCGTATGGAAACTATTTCCGCATGTTCTCAATTGCAAAAAAACATTTTTAAAACAATTCTATTATTTGAAATAACTTTAAACAAAATTTAAATAAAATTACTTAATGTACATTAGAGGTGGTGAGAGTACCAAGGCATCGACTGATAGAAGTAAGATGTTTTGATCTCCTGTCACCCCTACGCTCCACGAGTGAGATCGAGCGATACAGTCAGCATCGGTGACCAGACGCTCTCGCTTGGGTCGAAAGCAGGGGAAGTACTCATATATCAAATACTGTAGAAGAGTTAAACAGCTGAAAAGTCTCTGTGCGACCCTCTGTTGGCAATACCTAACTATTTGTATATGTAAGCCAGTGCACCTGAGCCCCAGGAATAAGTCCCAACACTATCCAAGTCCTCGATAATCTCGTACAGGAATTTGGGAACCACCTTGCTACCAGTATAGTCACCAAACAAGGTGGTACCTAATAGCACCCACACCCAGGCAGTAGCGTGATCCACATGTGACCGAGTTGTCCACTCTAGTGTTGCCAAAATGGAGGAAACTGTCATTGTACCATGCTGCGAGAACGACTGCATCAGCTTACTTTTCGTGAATTGCAGCATTTCCACGAAGTAAGCCTGTCAAGCGCTAGTGTCAGGGTCCGCCGTGACTAGCTCTCCCTCTACAAGAACCCTTAAAATGGCCCATACACCATGCAACCGATACTCATTTCACCAAACGACATGTAAAATGAGTTAGTATCATGCTGTCAATGCTCGATAAATGTAGAAATGAGTGGACTGTCGACATAAGTATACATGAATTCCACCAGATGTGAAGCCCGGTTTGACCTATCAAATTTCGTGCAGCGGGAGGCATAGCAGGGAGCCAAGTCCTCAACTTCTCGTGCGCTCCTTGTCTATTTTGACATTTAGTATGCCTCTAAACTTTTCAGTCCATATACGGGAGACTACATGCCCTAGAAAGCTAGGGATAAAACTCCCATCAAGGGGGCCACCGGTCACTAGGCCTGAAACGATATAGTCTTCGTTGGTAGACTTCTAGATCGTTTGCTGCTACCTGACATTAGAATAGAACATATATATGACATATTGTGACTGACTGTATCAATGATATGCTATTATTAAATAAAAATATTTAATGGTAAACAAAAATAAGTACGTAAATTATTTACATGTGGATGCAGTGCTCGCAAAATGGCCCCCAACACGTGGAGGAGCAAGTCGTGCGGGAGGCTGTCTAGGGGAGGAATGTCCTAGTAATCTCTAGACTCAAAACAGAATCCCCTGAGAACTGCAACCTCTCAAACTGAGACTCATCATAATCAACCTGATGCTCGAAGCGGGACTGCTGACCAGTCTGTACCGGAGTGAGGTGTCTCGAACTGCCAGTTTAAAAATCTCCAAACTGCTGCTCGTGCAAGGATTGGTCAGCGTGACCAACCTGTCTCAGGTGAACCTGACGCTGCATCTCAGCGTCTCTTGACCGACGAGCGAAAGCATCTAC